GTCTCTCTGCCATTCTACCTCTACTACCTCTGTCATCAGGACGGCATCGCCATTCCCATCAACCTCCTTAATACACTCAAAACAGTAAGACATCACCTGCTTTCTGATTACATCTCTGAGTAACCTGCCATTTCGCTTAGTTACCTGTGAAGATCTGACCGCCTCGCGTGTAGTGGTGAGTTAGAGCGAAACCCGGAGAGCGGAAGGTCTATCGTGAGTTCGATCCGACCTGCGGCCAAACCAAAAGACATTAAAATATGGTACTTGTTGGTCCCTGCCTGGCGCTCGCATTAATGGGTACAACAAGGACTGAAATCGGCTTCGAGTCAGTATAATGTGTCTGAGTGGGGTATATCCATTCTTCACTGCCGCATGGTGTCTCAGTGAGCTAGCACTATAAAACCAGCTTAAGTCTGAGCTAGTACAAGCAGCCGCACCTACACATACACACGCATGCACATCGCCATATGAGCCGAAATATGTCAAGCAACGACGTGCTAAACCCAATTTCACCTCACCTCACCTGTGAAGATCTGACACAGAAGTGGTCTTCAGCAACCCATGCTTGTCGTAAGAGGCGTTTACAGGAATGGGTGGTCAGCTTGCTGACAGGGTTGACACGCCGTTTGAATACCAGTTGTGTAGATTGATGGTCATGATTTTGATCACTGGATTGTCTGGTCCAGATTTGTTTTTTTTACAGACCCCGCCGCTATGTAGCTGGAATAATTGCTGCAGTTATACAACAAACAATCCAGCCAGCCATTCGATTAGTCAGTTGTACCGCATTAGACTATTTTAAGATACTAAGTGTTAGTCTGACTTATCAAAATGGATGGGTTAGTTGTTTGTTTAATGCTTAGTGAATAGGGGAATAATTCTGTTATAGGATTCCCTCAGATTTCTATGTGCTGAATGTCAGCTATGTTTTATTACTTTTGGTCTTCTGATGTTGTCAGTAGGTTTGATCGGGTTTTAATCATAATTCTGTGTCATGATGGCTCAGAAAGTGACATTCTTTTGTCCAGTCAGATGAATTTCCCCAATCCTATGGCATGAACTCGGCAACTCGACCAATGAATCGCCACTGGAATTAGAAATGAATGAGAAATGATACACAATTCTACTAAGATGATTCTTTGATGAAAAAGATAAAAGGTTAATCATGTTGCATTTTATGAGGGTTCAAAGCCTGATTGATATTTGGATTTAGACTGCCAGGTGAGGCCAGGTTTCATCTTTCTGCAAGAACCTTTCTGGGCCAGCTTCATACAGAGCTTAACTATAAATAATGAGAAGTCTTATGATAATGCTTAATCTCCCCATAGACTAACATAGGCTTAACACAGGCAGTCTAAGGTTGCTTTGTACAAGAATATCTAGGATCCTCACATGGAATGTCCATGAGACGGATAATAAGGTCAATAATAATAATAATAATAATAATAATAATAATAATAATAATAATAATAATAATGAGAAGTCTTATAATGCTACTAATCTCTGCGAACAAAGCATGCTCAAAGTGCTAACACCCTGATTATTATTACCCCGGATAACCCAAGCTGCCTGTTAGGGCGCTTAGAAGGTTATAGTCATCATGACTTTATCCAACCGGGTACCCATTAACTGCTGGGTGAACAGAGGCAATTTTGAAGAAACTCACTTGCCTAAAGTGAGACCACATGTATCACATGTGCTTCATTGTGGGGCAGGACGGAAGTCCTAGAAACTCTCAGGAGTCAAGCAGTCAAACACGGTCACCCATCCAAGGACTGTCCGAAATTCGCCATTGCTTAACTGCAACTGATTCGTGACCTGCCCTCTGTGCACAGGACCACACACCACCACTATCACAATGCACGTTGAGCCTGGTGCAGTTTTTAACGGATAAATATATGAAAGTGATGAGTTTCTGAGGTCGGCGTTGTGTTCTCAGTTTTTCAGCTTGTTCCTGTTTTTCCTGGCTATCATCGACCTCATCAAGGCGGCCAGTGACGATGGCAAGGTGCATGATGTTGTGTATGTCTCCGGTGGAATCAAAGCGGCGACATATGTAAGTAGTGATTTCTTTCCAACCTCTAGTGGTATGATGGCTCAACATGTGAAAAGGGTTAATTATGATGACATCATAGAAATCCCAGTGTCATTGCAATTGATTTTCAGAAGATGGCTGTCAGCCAAAGAGATAACTGATTTTAATTTCTAGCCATTTCTTCTTTCATATTTAGGGGCGGTGGGGTATCCTAGTTCTTAAAGCGTTGGCTCATGTTGCTGAAGACCCGGGTTCAATTCCCCACATGGGTGCAATGGGGGAAGTCCATTTCTTTGCTAAAAGCGGCCTAAAACTAAACTCACTCACTCACTCTTTCATATTTAATTCTTTTGGAAACTTGAACTAGCATGGAAATTCTCAAGAGGAATAAAACAAAACATTCTTTTAATTCTGTATTTTTTGGCGCTGCCTTATCTGTGAGCCCTTTGACTGCTTATCGTGAATCCAGCTTCTGTGGGATGTGGTGTTTGTAGTTGCTGTCGGGCGATGTTGATCCAGTTGGAAAGGAAGAAAGGCATCATCACATCTGGTGTTCTGTGGTTCTTCTGGCTCATGACCACTCTTGCAAATATCATCCCCTTCTACACCAAGATCATCCTGAGGTCAGTTACCATGGTTACGTCCCGCTTTGTCAATTGTCTGTTACATGAATTGCCAGTGTCCATGATAACGCCAGTAAAAGCAGTCAGACCCCATGGTTAAATTAGGCCAGTCTATTCCCATGGAGGCGGGGGTAGCCTAGTGGTTAAAGTGTTCACTTTTCATGCCAAAGACCTGGGTTCGATTCCCCACATGGGTACAATGTGTGAAGCCCATTTCTGGTGTCCCCGTGGCCATGATATTGTTGGAATATTGCTAAAAGGAGCGTAAAACTAAAGTCACTCACTCACTGTTGCCATGGTTACATCAATCTGGTCAGGCAGTTTCGAGTATAACTGCTTTAGTTACGTCAGTCTGTTACCATGGTTACATTATTCATGTCTATACGTTACCATGGTTACATCAGTTATATGTGGAACCAGTTGAGAATTCAGGAAATGAATATGGCCACAGCTTCTTCTTTATCATGTGACCAAGGACTGCCTCCCTGGTGTAGTGTAAGAGCGCCTGGCTGGAGAACGGAAGGTCATTGGTTTGATCCCTGGCTGCATCATACCAAAAGACGTTAAAATATGGTACTTGTTAGTCCCCGCCTGGTGCTGGGCATTAATGGGTACAACAAGGACTGGTTGGCTCAGAGTCAGTATAATGTCTGAGTTGGGTATTCATGCTTCACTGCGGCATGGTATCTCCAGTGAGCTAGCACTATGAAACCAGCTTAAGTCTGGGCTAGTACAAGCAGCCACACATACACCCATGCACATGCCGTCCATATGAGCGAAATATTCTTAAGTACGACGTTAAACCTCATTTTTCAATTTACATCCCATCATCACAAAATACAGCTGTGGAATAAACCTGGAACTAAATGACAATGATGTATCTCGGGACTGTGTTTCAGGATTACAGTGACCATTTGTTCAGGTTCGCCCTCTTCTACATCTACTTCGCCCTGTTGCTGACGGAGCTAGTGCTACACTGCTTTGCTGAGAAGATGACGCGGGCTGGATACTACGATCTGGGCAAGGTAGGTGCACTGCAAAGCCGAGAGGATTTGTTTGTTTTTCTTTGTCTGTTGTTTAACACTGCATTCAGCAATATGTGTGGAAGTCTGTAAATAAAGAAGAATAATGACAATTATTATGGATATACAACTTCTTTTATTCTGTGGAGGTGACGTTTCGACATAGGTTCGAATTTGCTTGACAACGACATTAGAACCTATGTCGAAACGTCGCCTCCACAGAATAAAAGAAGTTGTATATCCATAATAATTGTCATTATTCTTCATCAACTCAACTTTTAAAATGCCCATCAAAGAAGTCTTAAATAATCGAGCCTGGGTGCCGTTCCACTAACCTATCTTAGCCCTACGCCAATCGTAAAACCCTAAAATCCCAATCTTAGAGTGACGTTACGATCGGCTTACCGTTCCACTAACCAATCTTACCAAGTCAATCATAAAGTTTAGATCCAAAGTCTAAGTTGCTCATGACCAACTTAGGACAGCTAAAATCAATCGTAGAGAAACCAAAGTGGTAGCTTTCATGGTCTATATGATGAAGAAGAAGATCGAGCATTTCACCGTGAGCATCCCCTAAATTCCCCCATGAAATGAATTTGTATATTTCTGTGATGTAAACAAACACTGCACTGAAGCCTTACAAATGTCAGGGCAGTCTGACCACTAGCTGTCGTCATGGGAACACAACCGAGCCAGTCGGTGTAACACATTTGTACAACAATATTGCAACGTCCTGGGACAGCTGTGAAGTGAGCAATATGTTCTGAAGCAAAAAGATACAAATAAATTCGATTTCACTTCGCATATTTGGTGGGGGATTCTAAAAGCAGGCCGCGTGTTATTCAAGACCACTGACAGATTCTACATACGTTATAGCCTCCTCACGGCTTGTTGCTAAGATTGACAAGGTTCAGGCACATATTAAAAGCTCAACACAATTGACATTTTTAAAGTTCAGACTTAAAACCTGTTCTCAGTATATTACTTATAATCTCGGCTGTAAATACTCTCGTGTAAATTATCTGTACATAGCGCTTTGAGCATGCCCCAGGATGTGGAATAGGCGCACTATAAATATGCATTTATTATTATTATATTATGCCTGATACCCAGCGTTCATGCACGACTTGCACCTGAAACCAAGGTGCTCACTACCTAATATTTTGCTCTAGGTTTTTCTCCATGTTTACACTTGGTTGGAAAAAATACCCATGAAGGCCCGGGTTAGAATATTGAACTTCAGTAGCCCATGCTTGTCGTGAAGAGGCCACTAACGGGATCGGGTGGTCAGGCTCACTGACTTGGTTGACACATGTCATCGGTTCCCAAATGCGCAGATCGATGCTCATGCTGTTGATCACTGTATTGTCTTGTCCAGACTCGATTATTTATAGCTAAGATACATAGCATTCACTAACATGAATGCTCATGTTAGTGAAACGCTATGCATCTTAGCTAGATTATTTACAGACCGCCGCCATATAGCTGGAATATTGCTGAGTGTGGCATAAATCTAAACTCACTCACTCACTCAGTTGGTTCGTAAACTACTTCCATCATTTGCTAGACTATGCAAAGGGAGATTACTCGTGCCTCTCATCTCTCGCACGAAAAAGTCTCGATCTAAGCTTGGATCAGATTGTAAGATCGGTACCGGCTACGATCGGCCTAAGATCGGGTCGTGGAACGGGTGTAACTTTTAGCTAAGACGATTGTAAAATTAGCGTAACTTGCTAAGATTGATCTTAGATAAGATCGGTTAGTGGAACGGCACCCAGGACCAGACAATCCAGTGATCCGGATTAGAATTGATCTTCAGCAATCCATGCTTGTCATACAAGGCGACTAATGGGATTGGGTGGTCATAATAGATTGACCTCCTAATATGGTTGACACATTGCGGAGTTCAGTGTTAAACAACAAACAAACAAACAAAAAACATGCGTTGTCATGGTTACTGAGTTCGAGAGCAGCATACTTCCTGATGCCTGTGTTAACAACCATTTTTCATTTGCAGAAGCCATCTCCTGAGCAAGAATCATCCTTCTTCAACAGGATCATATACTGGTGGATAAACAGGTAGGTGATCTGATTCTGCTAGAACTGCTGCTGGCAAAGTTTCACATAATTTTAAACTCTGCATTTGAGAATATTTGGTCATATTTCATGTTTTGTCCCCCACCGCAACGCTGAACGGGACTTATATCTCACCTTGACCTTATCTTCTAGGTCACTCTGACACTTTGCCATTTTAGTGGCAAACACTTGTGTTATATGTGTTTCAGCACATATGATGGCTTGTGTGTTACAGTAGATGTGTCATATGTTACAGTAGACATGTTGTGTGTTACAGCAGACGTTGTTGTGTTACAGCAGGCAGACGGTTGTGTTTGGGCAGCAGACGGTTGTGTGTTACAGCAGACGGCTTGTGTGTTACATCAGACGTGTTGTGTGTTGCAGCAGATGTGTTGTGTGTTACAGCAGACGTGTTGTGTTACAGCAGACGTGTTGTGTGTTACAGCAGACGTGTTGTGTGTTACAGCAGACGTGTTGTGTGTTACAGCAGACGTGTTGTGTGTTACAGCAGACGTGTTGTGTGTTACAGCAGACGTGTTGTGTGTTACAGCAGACGTGTTGTGTGTTACAGCAGGCGGCTTGTGTGTTACATCAGACGTGTTGTGTGTTACAGCAGGCGTGTTGTGTGTTACAGACATGTTGTGTGTTACAGACATGTTGTGTGTTTACAGCAGACGTGTTGTGTTTACAGCAGATGTGTTGTGTGTTGCAGCAGACGTGTTGTGTGTTACAGCAGACGTGTTGTGTGTTACAGCAGACGTGTTGTGTGTTACAGCAGACGTGTTGTGTGTTACAGCAGATGTGTTGTGTTACAGCAGACGTGTTGTGTGTTACAGCAGATGTGTTGTGTGTTACAGCAGACGTGTTGTGTGTTACAGCAGATGTGTTGTGTGTTACAGCAGACATGTTGTGTGTTACAGCAGACGTGTTGTGTGTTACAGCAGACGTGTTGTGTGTTACAGCAGATGTGTTGTGTGTTACAGCAGCTGAGATGTTTGTTACAGCATGGTCTTCACAGGCTACAAGAAAGGCTTGGAGGAGTCCGACTTGTTTGAGCTACATCCGAGAGACAAGAGCGAGAGAGTTGTTCCTCAGTTCAACAATTCATGGGACAAGGAAGTCCTAAAAGCGAAACTCATCAACGAGTAAGTACATCCAGGAAACACACAGTACAGAATTCTATATCCATGCACACTGAAAATGGTCGCCAAAATCTTTATCAGTGGTACTGGGGGAGTGCAAAAGACTTTAGCTGTCTCATTATTTTTGAGCTGCATCAACTTTGAATAATGCATGTTACTGTGTACAGGTATTTCAGCTCATTTCAGGTACCCAGTTCAAATTCATAGTTTGAAGTTCACAGCTTACTGCTCAGAATTCAGTTGATGATTTTCTTCCGTCCAAACACTGAAATCACCTTTCATAACCAGCTCATGGTTCCTGAGCATGTACACTGATTACAATGGAAATAAAGTTCTTGGAGTCCATTTGAAGCATTCCCCATGCTGCCATATAGGAAATGCCATAAGAGGGCAACTAACAGGATTGGTTGGCCATTTCCCTCTGACCTGGTTTGCCAATGTCATCATATCTGATGTTTTCAGTCGCGAAATATCAGTACCATGTTGGAAGATGTATAATACACTAAATACAGTAATGCAGAAAGATCAGAATTGATTTTCAGCAACCCATGCTTGTTGTAAGAGGCGTAACGGGAGGGTAGTAAGGCTTGCTGACTTGGTTGACACATGTCATCATATCCAAGTTGCCTAGATGCTCATGATGTTGATCACTGGATTATCTGGTCCAGACTCGATTATTTACACATAGCCGGAATATTGGTGAGTGTGACATTAGACGCCAAACCACCAAACTAAAACAAAACAAACATGTGCAAATACTTCATTTGGCTAGTGTATAATGCTAAGATTTCTACAGTAAGTTTACAGATCCATCAGATCAGATGGGTGGTCAGGCTTGCTGACTTGGTTGACACATGTCATCTTATCCCAGTTGAATAGATCGACGATCATGTTGTTCATCACTGGATTGTCTGGTCCAGACTTGTTTATTTACAGACTGCTGCCATATAGCTGGAATTATTGCTGACTCAATGCTCATGAAGTTGATCACTGAATTGTCAGTGCTTGGGTGGATGAAAGGTCATTCTGAAGTGATCTATTCAGATCTTTGTTTAGTGGGGGGCGGTGGGGTAGCCTAGTGGTTAAAGTGTTCGCTTGTCACACCGAAGGCCTGGGTTTGATTCCCCACATGGGTACAATTTGTGAAGCCCATTTCTGGTGTCCCCCCACCGTGATATTGCTGGAATATTGCTAAAATCGACATAAAACCATAATCAGTCAGTTTGTTTAGTAGTTACTAGAACTAAGAGTGGATTTTTGTGAGATCACACCTTCTGATGAGTATAATTGTTTGCCAGAAAGAGGAAACGTCACTCGCGGGTACACTACCGAAACGACATGAGCTCCAAGCACCATATAGACATCCAATCCACAAACGAGAAGACCCCCCTGCTGAATGGTCCTGGCAAGAGCTGATGAGGTCAAGTTCAAGGGCACAAAGGGATGATGATGGAATCAAACTAAAGCAAGCTTCGGCTCTTCAAAGTTCTTGCCAAAACATATTGGTTTGAGATTTCACTATCTTGGTTCTGCAAGTTCATCTATGACTTACTTCAGTTCGTCAGTCCAATTCTGCTCAAGTGAGTCTGTTTTATGTTTTACTCATTTTAAGCCGCCAGCTAATGGCCTGAAGAGAAAGTTGAACTCAAAGTTATTTTATTAATGTCAAGCCTAATAAGAAACCCTTCTTTACCATAGTGTAACAAAGTGTAATCCTATTTATATCTTCGCTTCCAAACAGTAAGTGGCATTGTTCCAACAAAATGCTAAAGATTCCTACCATGGTTCAAAAATGCTATTTTGAGCTATTTTGAAAAAAAGACATATATGTATATTACTCAGTCATTTTTTACTCAAAATTTTTCAAAATTTGGTACATTGATTTTGGCCGAGGGACTCAACATCATGGGTCTCTTTTACGCGATATTCAGTAGTTTAACCTTTGGTAGGCCTTTACCCCGCGTAACATACCAAAAGCGACGCGAAAATAAGGTGTACTTGTTGATCCTGCCTGGCGCCGCGGCATTAATGGGTACAACAAGGACTGGTCGGCTCGAGTCAGTATAATGTGTCTGAGTGGGGTATTCATGCTTCACTCGCGTATGTGGTATCTCAGTGGGCTAGCACTATAAAACCAGCTTCAGTCTGGGCTAGTACAAGCAGCCTTTTACATACACATACACACGCATGCACGCCGCCATATGAGCCAATTATTCTCAAGCACGACGTTAAACCTAATTTCACCTCACCCCCACCTCATTTATGGCTTTTGGGGATGGGGTGATGATGATGATTTTTCTGATAAGCATGTACAATGTGAATGACCCCCACTAAAATTTATGTACAAAGTAATTTCCACCCTGCATGTCATGTACAAAATCAGTGACCATCCGACTTCCCATGATTTTAAAATATTTATGTGTACAAAATTGCTGACAATTCGCTTCACTCTAGTACATGTGTACAAAATTGATTACCCCTACCTCCCAGAACAAAATGTGGGTGACCCCTGCTTAAAATAATCATCACCACCTCCTAGCCATGAATCCTGAAAGTTCCTCTGTGTTTTTCTCCATTTCCTTACTAATTCTATTGAGATGATGTATTACATGTGTGATAGTTCAGTCCTCCTGATTCCATGATTCCGCAGTTGCAGAATTAATCGCTGAATACCTTTCATGCAGAAAAAAACGTCTGGTCCAATGGAAAATGCATTTTCATGCAAATAACCAAACTGCCATTTTTCTTCGCCTTTTGAAAGTTGAATCAAGATTGCCTAGCAAACGCGAAACAAAATTTTGTAGAGTTTGTAATGTCATTCCTGATTCACACCGTGAAATAAAAAAACATCTTGCAAGAAAAAACACGAGGCTGCCAGTTGTAGCTTGAATGTCATGAAGCTACTAAAATTTACAGCTTTGTGTTTAAGAATTAAAAGTTTGAAATTCTTTATCATTTTTTGTTGTTTTTTCAAGCATTTTAACAGCAGAATCTTTTGCAGGATTTTGAAAAATGGCATGCAGAATTTACTTTAAATTTACTCGCGGAATTCTTAAAAATTCACCACGGCATCCAGGAGGGACTGATAGTTGTAGAAGTGGT